TATATGTATGTATAATATATATGTTTTATTAAAATGTATTATTTTATTCATTTTCTCTATAATATAGCTGTCTTGTAAATGAAAATATCTAGATATATTTCATATAAAACATTACTATCAAAATTTGCAACATTAATAAAATATAAAACTATATAAAATAATAAATATTACAGAAAAATAACAATGTATATAGTTAGGTAAAAAAATAAATATTCACCCCAATTGTCTTGCTAAGCTTTCTAGACGCTCTACCATGGATTGAAAGGAAGTGACTTTGATAGAATGTTGTAGAGTGTCCAAACATTTCTGCAACTGATTCCTCTCCACACTGTCAATCACGAATCGCTTATCCTGTTTATGAAAGAAAATTTTATATACATTTGCATTTACAAATCTTGAGATAACAAAAGTAACTTACCATGGCCATACGCATGTTCTTGGCCGTCTCTACCAAAGGCTTAAACGTGGAGGCCTTGGAACGTAGTTTCTCCATCAGCAGCTCCATTTGCCATTCCTTACCCTTGTCGGAGGAGGCAGGTGTTCCTCCGGTGGAGGGTTGCCCCACTGAATAAAACAAGTTTAGTTTATCAAACAACTATATTTATTTTCCTTGCATAAAAGATATATGGTCATGATGATAAATTTTGTTCTCTTCTGATAACAATTCTGAACATAATTCGAGAAATTATTTAAAGACGAGTGGAAAGAAAAGTCATCAAATATAAATATACTGTGTTATGTTGCAAACTTCTCTCGCAAAATATCCCGTTAGCAGGACGAATAATTGATCGACAATCGCTCGATAATTTTACGAGCATTATTTGGCCATTATTTTTCGAAATTGACTTCTCTCGGTGGAAATAAGAAAAAAGGAAAAATCTTCCTCACCGTGGGGCTTTTGCCCGTTGGTCGCATCCATGTGCCCCTTTACGGTTGACGCGAATGTTGCTCGCGACGATTGTTCTTCTATCAGGCAGCGCTCGCTATCGCGGCGTCGCGACGCTGCACGCTTTCCCGATCATCGCGTGCGAATCGACGAAATCGGAGCAGCCGCGGAAACGCGACCCTCTGGCTCGCGTTCACTCTTTGTATTCACCGACAATTATGTCTATGTCTCGTCGATGTTTTCTTCGCGACTGCTCCAAACAGGGAACAGGTGCGGAGAGCGGAGACTCCGTCCGATTCCGCTTCGCTCGTGGAATTTTCTTACCTAACCTGACGTAATCCAACCTAAGCCTCAAATCGCGCGCGCCGCCAGATTGCGCGTCAGTTTCTTGTTTTATTCCTGAAATCCCGAGACCGACGAGAGCGACGCAGCGACGTTCCATCGACTCTGTTACTTTTTTCCCCATCCTATGTATAATTTGATGTATCGAGTTATAAATATAATTATGAATATAT